TACAGTCGACCCCCCTATAAGATCATTGATTATTCCGTTTTATATGAATTCCATGTTGTACGAGTCACTTAGATTTTACAAATACATGTACCGGGCTGTGAACGGCTCACGAATTTGTAAAATTTAAGTGACTCGTACAACATGGAATTCATATAAAACGGAATAATCAATGATCTTATACGGGGGTCGACTGTAATTCATTTTTTCTTATTTGAAACCTAATTTCTTTAAGTCATCATTTTAATACAAATAAAAAGAAAAAAAAAGAAAAAACATTTATTTCTTGTTTGTTTTAATACATATATACACTTCTTCCATCTTACTTCAGGATTTAGAACAATCAGACCTATCTAAAGTCATTCGAAATGGCCAATCCTAATTTGAAATCTATACAAATTAATAATGCTAAATTCACATATCTATATTGTCTAAAGTCATCTTCATTTGCTAGTTTTGTCTACACTATATAATATATAAAGTAACAGTTCATGATACCAAGTCAACAACAGTGATGGGAAATCTTTTCTGGATGCAGACCACAAGGAAACTTTGTAGGTTTCTGGTGGACTGTACATATTTTTTCTTATGGAGTTGCAGCTTTATTTTTGCACGTAGTTTACGGTGGTTAGTGCACATCCACTGTAAACTAGGTACAAAAATAACATGCAAACTAGTAATATATACTTTATTGTCACCTTTTCACTGGACAATTTAGTTTGAATGTTCTCTGTCACAAATATCAGCTTAATCAGGGTTACATAACAGCACAAAACAGAAAACAAGAAAGTAAAATTATGCTCCAAAGCCCTGAGGGCTGCATATTAGGTCCTTGCAGGCCACAGACAATGTGGCTACAGGTTGCTCATGACAGGTCAACAACATAGGTATTAGTTTGGTTTTATTTTTAAGATCACGAGTGTTGTCTTAATGCAACTATAAATACATTTTTAGTCCTTTTAATTATTAGTGTTTATAATTAATATTTTAGTAAGCAACAATATATCAGAAAGAAATACGAGAAGCATATTTCTCAATCACCCAAATAACTTTGAGCCTGTGTAACCAATGAACTAGACAATTAGTTGCTTAAATGATCATTGAAAAGAACAAAAACTTGCCAAAAATTTTAATTTTTAAAAGATAATATTGATATTTTGAGATCAAGTTATAACCATGAGGAAATTTTCTACAATAGTAATTTGAAAGATCTCAAATTACAAGCCTGTAGATGTTTATAATTTTGGCAAACTCTTAGTTTTACTAGTAAATGTGATGTGGTTGTCAAACAATAAAACCAAAAATGTCTATTATTACTTGTACATAGTACATCATAAGGTCTATTCACAATGAACAATGATGTTTTGAACTGTGTACATATCAAACAAGTAAAAATTAAGTAAAAAAAAAAAAATGGTTAAAGTATACTTAGGTAACCCCAATGGCAGCGCTTCGGTTAGGTTAGGTTAGATTAGATTAACTACATTTTTAGTAGACGTTTCCTTTTTTTTTATTTTAATTTTGTTCAAGAACTACCGTGAATCAATAACTAGTGACATTAAAAATCGGCAGTGAATTCGCCGTAAGGAGCACAAGCAGTCAGAAGCGTTACCTAAGTATACTACGACCAAAAAAATATATTTTAGAATTAATATTTATCAGACAATCACATGATAAAAGTATCAGATCACAACCGTGGCGATTCAAATCCGATCCACAACCTCAAATTATCAAAAGTAGTACAGTTCAGGATATCATTCCCTATTATATTCCCAAAGCCAAGCTACGGATGACCATAACGAATGGATATAATCTAATTTCACTTTAAAACATTTTACTGGATTTTTTAAAAAATAAAGCATATAGAATTTGAACATTTAAAATTATAAAATAAATTAAACTTGTATGAATGTTTTATTTTATTTTTTGCTTGACATACTGTAAATCATCATCATGTTTTATTTGTACATACAGACAGTATAGTGACACAAGTACAATCGAACCCCCTATAACACTGTTGATAATTCCGTTTTATATGAATTCCATGTTGTACGAGTCACTTAGATTTTACAAATACGTGAGTCGTTCACAGCCCGGCACACGTATTTGTAAAATCTAAGTGACTCGTACAACATGGAATTCATATAAAACAGAATTATCAACAGTGTTATAGGGGGTTCGACTGTAAATTATAAAATGGCACTTTACAAAGGAGAAGAGCAAATGAGGCGCAGACAGAAGAGCGGACATTGTGTATTATTAATATATGTAAATAAACGCATGTAAGAAAAAACATTGATATAACATTAAGATTTTTTGAACCTTAAGATCCTGCTAATAATTATTATTCACTAATCATACGAAAAAATGTTAAGGATTAATAAATTATAAGTATTAAATATAATAATTTCAAATAACTTACGTTTGCCATAAAATATCGTAACACAGACGATTAACTATTGAAGTGCCTCCTAGTGAGAAATAATGTTATCGATGATATTTTTATTATATTTAACATGGAAAAAATTAAAATAAATTTATTTTTATTAATAAAATCTTTAAAAAATAATTTTGCATTAAATTGTTAAATAAAATTTATAGT